TAGCATAATTAAATATGCACTAAATATAATGTGATTAAACTTCAGTAGCAGTAAAAAATAATGTAATAAGCTTTACAGAAACTGAGCCCAGGCAGTCAACATATATTTCTGTTATAGCTAATGCTACACTGCCTCAGTTCTGTTTTGTGCCCCTAGCTTCTTTTTTTTTTTTCACATTTTAATGTTTTTATAGGAAAATAATTTTATGTGCTTATTTTGTATAAAGACTGAATAGCTGAGCAAGATGAATTAATGTATCAAAAGGTTTATCTGCTTTTCATATGTAAAACTTAGTTGTGCTTAGAAACTAGTACTTGAGCGCTCACATTCACCTTTTACATACAAAATCACTACATTTCCAAAAACTGCTGTAGAGTTCTTCATTTGCAGGTAAAATCTGCAGCTGATGTAAAACTAAAATCTAGAGCTAAGGAAACCCACATCAAACTTCTGATTTCAGTGGAATTGAGGTCTGAAGTCCATCACTGAAAGCAGAATTTAGGCTGAGGTTTCTAAAGGTCTGTAGATACCTCTACGATGGGACATTCAGTGTCCTAGAAGTGAATTAGGTGCATGAATAGACCCACACCAGAAGAAAATCAACAGACTTCTTCAAGATGTGGGATACTCAAAGTCATGCTGGCTAATTCAGAGCCCTCAACAACAGCAGGAATTAAATCCTGGTATTGCAGGCCATGGGTTGATGGACTCATTTGCCTGTGGTCATTTCTCTTGATCTCCATTGGAAATTGTCTTCCCCAACAAATCACATTTTCCAAAAACAAGACAGATTACGTTTCACACCTTGCGAACCCTCTGTGCCAGCCAGGCAGGGAGAAAAGGGAGACTCTTCTCACTCCGTGCTAACTGTGCTGCGAACAGCAGTATGCTAATTAAATGATAGCAGCCTGGCAGAAACGATTATATGCGATCCCACCATTAATTAGTAGTTATTCCTTCCTGCATTGGAAGAGTTCAGTGTAATCACATCAGTGATCTCACGGCCACACAACCCAGTGCGACGGGCATACCCTTTGCATTGAGAAGCTGTGCGCCATGAGTGGCAACCTCCCAAGCCAGGTTAAAACAGAGGGTCTTGGAGTTTTAACCCTGGGAACCTGAAGTTGAAGCTGAACAGCTCAGAGAGCTAAGGTCAAATCTGCTTTTTCATTTTTTTCCTGGCTCCTTGTGAGCATAGGTTGTCCTTATCCCCTTTTATTTGTTTCTTTGCAGGTAAAAAACTGCCACAGTAATACAAGGCCGTGCCTGCGTATGGTGCTGATAGACATCATGTGCATTCACAGAGGGCCTATGACAGTGGCATCTGCAGGGAGCAGGACGCAGGCAACCAGATAGCATCAGTTCCATGGAAACAGATGTTTACCATCCTCTGCCTTTCTCAGCTGAACAAAGACAATGTTGGTGATAGGGATACAGCAGGTTGTTCCCAGAACGCTGTTTGGTGGAATGGCTGCCCCACTGCACATCTGGATCAGTCCTGCACACTATGATCCTGTTATGACTCCCAAGACCTTTGGGGAAATGAATGGGTTGGTGTCATTTGGTCTACTTTTGCAAAGGACTAGCCAGTACAGGAAGGTGAAAGGGAAGCCCAGGGAACTTGGCTTTCATCCCTCCTCCATGAGGAGGTCTCCTGCGGAGCCCTGGGCCCCATGTCTGCCACAACTGGGTTGTGGAAAGCCTCCGCTGCTCAGTTCTATGAGTTTAGAGACTCATTGTAATGGGAATTATAGGAGAAGGTAAGAAACCTGTGAAGTTCCTATGATGGTAAAACACAGGAGAGAGATCACCAGCCCACAGCAGCTGAGCTCTCATCCTGACAGGTATTCCAGTTTTCAACATCTCATGCTTCCCTTCACAGATACCAGGTCAAGTACATCCTTGCTGGGTGAGGCAGTCCTTGGGGAAGCTGTAGGGAGCTCCTCCAGGCACGGGAGGGATTTTCTGGCTGTTCAGGCTGAAGTGTTGTTTGTTTGGTGGCATGTCACCTACACCCACTGCCCTGTTTACTCTACGCTGGTAGCCTGAGAACCTTTCTCTGCTTGTTTTATTTCAGTTAAGAGTGAACTGAACTTGGGCCATGTGCAACAAAGGGCATGTCTTGAGGTTTACACTGGCTTCTTTCCCTTCTGCTCCTTTCAGTTCGTGTCACTGCATGGTGGGTGCTAGACACAGGCTAAGGGACAGAGCTCATGAACATGGTGCTCAGAAAGACGGGTCATGTCCACCTACAAAATTGCATAATCACACAGAAAATGTACACCATATCCTACCCAGGAAGGGAATTAAATTAAACCTGTGGCATTGCTGAACTATCTCAGAATTTCAGCAGTAATTATGAATACTGCAAGCTCTTTTGGTGCCTTATTTGAAAGGTCCAAATATCTTTTTAGACTCACCAAGCAATGGCTCACCAGCAACAGCACACAGGAATTCCATGAACAAAAGTGTCCATGACCATATGGGTAACTTAGGAATAAAATATAACTCTGAATCATACAGTTATTTATAGTCAGATCATTCAAGTCACTTTGTACAACCAAACTATTAAGATACAGTAAATGCAAGAAATGAGTGGAGGAAAAACATGAAAGTTTCTAATCCAGGGTCATGAGTCTATCTGCTTTGATTTTTGTCTCTCAAGTACATAAAAAAGAAAAGCATCTGTCAGGGCCAGAGAGAAGTTTAACTGTTTTAGCACGTTGTTACCTTGAGCTACCGAATGCAATAGGGACCTGATGGTGGAGCGACATTAAAACTTCTGGGCAGAGAGACAGGTAAACGGGACTCACCTGGCTCTGCTGGGGCAGATCTCAGAACCCAGCATGTGCTAGATTTGAAGGACAAGCAGTAAGGCCAGAGAGAAAACAATACAATTTCAACCCTATTACTCCATCTTTTTCTTCTTTTCTTTTTCTCAGTAAAGTAAAAAAGTAGACAAAATAAGTAGTCTGAAGAGCATTTGAGGTTGTCAATTCAGGTTCAATAAATATGCCTGTGTTACTGCCAGGTTTAAAGCTGACATTGTTTCTCCTGTGTTTTTTGGAAGACGGAATAAAAACCCCTAATAATGTAGTCTTACAACTGAAAGCAACTTGCAGGCTGAGGAGCTGCCTCTAGGAAGGAGAAACACCAAAGGTTTTAGGTGACCTTTTCAAGGGCAATTGTTCTCCCACCTTTTTTTGTGACAAAGCAGCATGGAAATTTCTATACAAGAACACACAACTCACAACAAATCAATTCCAGAATAGTTATCAAGATGAAGCTTCAGAATTAAAAACAAATGCCAGAACTATAAGAGTAACAAAAAGAGAGATCCAGAGCTGCAAGAAGTGTATATTAAGACGAGATTTACCCATCACTGACTGGTTCCCCAGCAGAAGGAAGGTTCCAGTTGCAAATGCTGGAGGAATATATCGCATTCAAAAGGTAAAGGGTGCAGGGAAGAATAAGGACAAGACCAAGACAAGGTAGCAGCAGAAGAGGGAAGAAAGCAGAGCGGACCTGGGCGTTCATTCAGAGGTTGGACTGATTGCACAGAGACAGGGGGAACCACTGATTTGGGTGGCAGTGGCTGGTGTGAATTTGGATGGAGCCAGGAAGCTGCAGGTGATTTGACTGTGTGGTCTGTGATTGCTACGATGCAGGGAGGGACATGCTGCCCACACTTAGCTGCTAATCTGGGGCCAAGGAAATCAAAAGGAGGAGGCAGCTAGGGCAAGGGAGGCAGAAGGGCTGAAGGGACAGGGCTAAGCAGAGAGAGGCAGGGTTTCTGCCCACGGAAGAAGTGAAGAAACATTTCCAGGCTGGGATGAGATGGTGGAAACAAAGGGGAGAACAAATCTTTGAATGGCATCTGAACTCTTGAAACTGGCTAAAGGATGACATGGGGCATCCCCAAGTTTATTAGGTCAGGAGGGCTGGATAGAGAGGTGCCAATAAATGTGCTGAACCATGTGCAGAGGTAAGACAAACGAAAATCGTGGTTTTTCAGAGCTCAGCAAGAGCACTGCCAGAAGGGGTATTAACACACATGAAGCTGTTTGGGTACAAAGACCAAACCCAGGGAAGCTTTGGAGGAATTCTGGAAGGGCTGCTCTCACCCTTTAGAGGGATGACCAGACAGGTTATATGGTAGTGATAGGCTGCCCCAGACATCTCCTGAGGTGTCATTTCTGAGGTTATGGGGATAGGTCAGTGCTGGTCCATACTGTGGTGGGAGTAGGGACATGAAAGGTGCTCTGGGTTTCATAATAAAATATTATTTTATTATAATATTGTTTTCACAATAAAGTAAAAGGGATTTGAAAGGGCATGAAAGCAACCACTGGAACTGGTTTAGAAAGAGGCAATTCTGTTTATGAAAGTGGGCAGGGGGAGTCCTGAATCTCTTAATGGTCTTTACCTATCCTGCATACTAGAAACTAGACAGACATTGTGCAGTGAATCAGGGGCTTCAGTAGGTTATCCCAACCAGAGCCATGCAAGTATGGGGTGGACAGCTTGGATTTAGCTGTGAACCTAAACTCTGGCCACATATTGTTATGCCAAAATCATGTCAGCTTAGGAGCCCTTGTCCCATGTTCACTGTCCTTCTAACCTATCTTAGAAATAGCACAAGCAGCACTATAAGTTGAGTGGCTTGGCTGACAAGATGGACTTTTCTTTGGTTATCATTTTTACTGTTTTGGGTGGTTAAATCTGACAGCACCTTGCTGATGTGGAAGGGAGAAAGGAGCAATCAGACATGGGGAAACACAAAGTTGACAGGTAAACTTATAAAAGACTGGGCCATATTTCATTGTGCACACTTTTTAAAAATATGGTCCTATGTTTAATGTTAATGGAAACCATCATTCATGCATCATTGCCATAGGAACATTTCTATTAACATTAAACATACTTTGATACCAGTAAATGTTACTGGCTGGCAGAGGAAAGTTACAACGTGTGTAATTTTGCTCTTTGTTTTCTCTTACCATGTGTAGGTGTCTGGGTGGCACTGTTTAGTATCAGGTGATTATAATTTTGTTCTTGGTCATCTGAAATTCACAGAAAAAAAAATCCCTTTAAGAAATGGCTTAGCATACCCACTGATCTGCAGATGATAATTACAGCTCACAGTATTCACAGGAAATCTCAGCATGATTAAAGAAAGGAGAAGAAAATGCTTAAGAAAGCAGAAGATTCTGTTATGTAGTTCACTTAAAATTCCAGATGCAAGAAGAACACGATAATGGGAAACTGCTCCCATTCTGCTGAGCCTGCAAATTAGAGTTATCTGCAAAGGTAAGAAGCATGTCCAGACAGGAACAAACCACAACCAGTGTACCAACATCGGTAGTGTGTTCCTGGGAACTGCTGGAACCTCACAGCCCCTACTCCACTGCTCCACCTCCATCCAGCAGGGAGGTTTTCAGGAAGTTAGCCCCAACTACACGGGAAAGAGACTCCCCCACTGTGACCGCAACCACAACAACAATGTCCTGTGTGAGTACAGGGAAAGATCAAATAAGTGGCCTCATAAATGCAGGAGGTAAACAGCTGCACATGGGCTGTAGATGTCCCTCCCCTGAGAAGTGAGAATCCTGTAAGACCTGATGCATTCAGTATTCGATGCACCGTGCTGCGAAGTAGGAGGAATGATCAATGGCAGAACAACTGCTACTATTGTGGTTAGTAACTACTCTTTGGGTTGGAAAACAACTTTCTTTCTTTCTCACTGTAATAAAACCATTAGATAAGTGACTGCTGATAAACTTCTATCATCTTTAGTTTCCAGACAAGCCTTCAATAAGGAATGAACTCTTTGTCTGGATCTTTACAACCCCTTGTGGAACTGTAGTAATGTAGGGAGAGAAGAGATTTCAAGAAATATTGCATCTCATGCTCTCCCAGTGCAGGATGGGCTAGTCTGATGTCTAGTCTGCTATTCTTAAAAACCTATCATGGATATTTCACTTTTTCCCCAAATCTGTTTCATTAGGTCTTTCTTACTGCTTTTTAGGCCAATTGCTTCATTCCTGTCTACCAGGGACATGGAGAAAATCCCCCTTATTTCTGCAATAGCTCTTTACAACAAAGCTGTTACTATGTGTTCTCTTAACTTTATTCTTCAAGCTAAACAATGCCATTTCCTTTATGTTTCCCTATAAAACTTGCTTTGCCTTTGGTTATTGTTGTTCTAGCATCCTGTGCTCTCTCCGATTGACCTAGATCCTTCTCAAGTTTGGAATACAGTCTGGGACATGTTTCTGAGAAGAGACCTTACCAGTACAGAGTGGAGTGGCTGGATTTTTCCCAGTCTCTTGTTCACACAAAACTTGTATGATATTTTTCTTTTCCTGGTTCATTTAAAGTTTGTGATCCTTTATGATTCCTTATTGCTTTTCCAAAGAACTGCTACCTGTCCAAATGTTCTTCAACATATACAAGGTTTTTTAGTATACCTGTTTCAGTCCAATGCGTAACATTTTTCTCCATTTAATCAATTTCTTTTCAGTCTATTTCTCCAATTTGTCAAGAACAATTTAAATTCTAATCCCATCCTCTAATAGACTTATGGTCATCCAAGCTTCATCTGCAAATTTAATAAGCAAATTCCTTTTCCACCTGTAACAAAAAGACTAAATTCAGAACCACATCAGTTCATCCTTCTACTGATATTTAGTTACCTTTTATGGTTAGTCAGCCATTATGGCATCTACCCTATAGAAGTTCATTAATAACATGCTTCTCACATTAGTCTCACATTACTTTCCCAGAAACTGCTGAAAATCTTGCTAAGGTCATGATCCTTAATACAAGCTATTTCTGCCTGGCCACAAAACACAGTAAAAAATAAAAATAAGATTAGCTTGACATGATTTGTTTCTGAGAAGTCCCTGATGGCCGCTACTTTATCTCACTGGAAACTCATCTCCCTGCACAGCATGCTGAATATCTGTGTACAGCCAGGATTAAAATCAGAGGTTATTTATTCGGATGACAACAGACTGGGCACCTTAGCTTGCTTACTTCTCCATCTAGAAAACAGGCACTCATTATATACACAGACAGCTGAAAATACAGAAAGGATATTAGCTTAGCTACCAGTATGTGATGAGCAAACCTTGAAAGGAGACCAAGTTCACACAGACACCTAAAGTGCCCTTGAATAAATGGCCTACAGGTCGCCTAAGTTAGAATTTTCCTTTGGATCCTCCATTGCTGGTTACTTTTAGCAAGAAAACATCCTGCAGTAACTACTTTTGTGACTTTACTTCAGTTTCTGTTCCTCCATATGGTCTAATTTCACTTTAACATGAAAACTGGACCAGAGGATGGGTGGGACAAGTAAAAAAAATGCATATTTCTGGAACCCCTGTAACCGTCTGGAGGCATTTTCAGAGATATGGGATCTGATGGGACACTTTCCATCTAGTTTCCAGCAAGCATGATACAGAATCCTGCTCACTAATTTCTGCATTAGGTTTTAACTGTTTCTGGAGTTCAAACAGACCTTCTCAGTAATATGATTTTAAAAGACTGTATGTGATGGTAAGTCTGATACATGCCTAAAAGAAATAGCTGCAGTATTTTTAGTCTTCATTACCAAAAACCACAATATACTTTAGGTCTTAAGTGAATCATCTGACTTCAACTCCTATTAGATCTTTCATATTTTTTGGTGGGACGAAGGAAACAATTTCTTACTAGAAAACTCTTCCACATGTAGGTATTTCTAGATCATGAGGCTTGCCAATCATCAACTTGATTATTCTCTTAGATAATCTAAATATTCTGTGCTTCTGAAAAGCTGTGGGGCTAAGGTCTGGGCCGGTATCTATAGACTTAATCAGATTCGGTTCATGACATTGTCAAGCCGAAATGTGTTTTGAATATTACTGTTAGACTGGTGTTTAGTCATTATAGCCAGCAATGGGGGTGCTGGGACTGCCAGACACACAGCTTTGGAGCAGTCTCCTCTATGCAGAATTTTTAGGGTTTTTGGCTGCAAAGGCAGCTGTTTTGTACAGTGTACATTAGGGATGTCTGTGTCCTGAGAACAACTGTGTCTCTCTTACGGCAGGTTTTCTGTTATCAAGTTCATAAAATCACAGAATCACTGAGGCTGGAGGCACCTCTGGAGATCGTCTCGTCCAACCCCCTGCTCAAAACAGGGTCAGCTAGAGCCCAGGACCTTGTTCATTAGGGTTTTGAATACCTCCAAGGATGGAGACTCCAAATCCTCTCTGCAAATCCTCTTCCAGTGTTCAGCCACCCTCACAGTAAGAAAGTCTTTTCTTATGTTTAAGTGGAATTTTCTGTACTACAATTTGTGCTCATTGCCTCTTGCCCTGTCACTGGGCACCACTGAGAAGAGCCTAGCTCTGTCTTCTTTACTTACCCATCAGTTATTTACATACATTGATGAGATCCCCCTAAACCTTCTCTTCTCCAGGCTGAAAAGACCCAGGTCTCAGCCTCTCCCATAACAACAGATGCTCCAGTCCCTTAAACATCTTCCTGGCCTTTTGCTGGACCCACTCTAGCTCGTCCGTGTCTCTCCAGTACTGATGAGCCCATCACTGGTCCCAGCACTACAGATGTTTCTTACCAGTACTGAGCAGAGGGGAAGGATCATCTCCCTTGACCTACTGGCAACACTCCTCCAAATGCAGTCCAGGATGCTGGTGGCCTTCTTTGCCACAAGGGCACATTGCTAGCTCATGTTCAGCTTGGTGTCCATCATGTATTTTATTGGTTATTTTACCCACAATTTATTACCTTATTTATAAGTTATTAAATCTATTTTTGAAAGTTGCAAACTAGGTAGTGAGTAATGAGCCTGTTGTACTTTTTTGGTGACCTCTCCTTGACATTTGCAGCTGATGTGTTCATTGAGCATGACTGAATTGCTATACAGCCACTTCTCTCCTGAAAGCCTTAGAAAGTGAGATACTTCCCCAGGAGGTCTCCATCCTTCCACATGCTTTGTATAGTAGCTTGTGGTTCCTATGCTAGTCCTTCTGGGTTTCAGCCAGGTGTAGGGCTGCAGTCATGCAGCGTAGCTAGGGAAAGCAAGGACTTCCAGCCTGGCTACAGCAAAGTTAATTTACAAATCAAATCGCAGAAAACATCCAAACATCCAAACTGTTTGTCCTTTTCTTAAATAATGTTGCTTACACACTACAGGAGCTGACAGATAAAAGGTTACACAGAGATGGAGACACTTGTGTGTGTGAAATGCAAGCATTTAAAACAGTAGCAGACATAACTTGAACACATTAATTGTTGCAGAAGGGAAACAACAGAGGCTTCTCTCTCCTGAAAACAGAGTACTCCAATGCAGTCACTTACTCTCACAGCCTCGCTCCTTGGTGAAATTGTGTCTTCACTGAGGACAATTACACCTGCATCTACATGAAAAGGAACTATTGTCTTCGGATTCTGATCAGCTTTCCATTTCACCCCAAATACTTTCTCTCTCTCTCTCTCTCTCCTTCCTCTCTCTCTCCTTCCCTTCCCTTCCCTTCCCTTCCCTTCCCTTCCCTTCCCTTCCCTTCCCTTTTTTTCCCTCTAAAAAATGCAGGTGCTTTGAGGCTACTGCTTAAGAAATATCATCCAAAATAGTCAGACCCTGAATTATTGGCATTTTCATGTGGCTGAGCTAATCAGGCATCTGAATGCAGCACTGGGCTTCATTTACCACTTCTGTAGCCTATTGTAAACACTTTCTAAGCAATAAAATGCTTTAAAATGATGGCTGAGCCTTCCTGTACCTCTTCAGGTTTAACAAGATAATGCTGTTAATTGTGAAGTGCCAGTTAGGCAGAAGCATATCTATTGTAGAGACAAGTATCTGAGTTCAAAGCTATTTACTAGGAAACTCCATTAGGGAAATAAAGGATTCACAGTGCTCTGAATTGCCAGACCACAATATGAAATTTCTGAGCACAGCTGGAGGAGCAATCAGATACAATAACCAGCAGAAAGAATGAGACATTTTACTGGCTGAAGGGAAACAAGTGCTCCCAGCCCCTTTGCAATATGGGAGAAG